ATTTCATCCCACCTTTACATGCATCTGGGACAATTTCACATTCATCAATATCTGTGGTTAGCAACAACAGAAGTCATGCTTTTAATATGTAATCTTCGAGTTTTAAAATACAAGTAACATAGCAAGGCATGCAAGCATGGTTCTACTGTCCAAAATCATTTGAGATATTTGGAAGATAATATACTAGAAACTACTAAAAATATCATTAAGTAGTCTTTCTTTTATAATGACTTACAGTACCTTTACACTGCTGCCTATAGGGATCCCATTCATAGCCATCTGTACATTGCTGCAGAAAAAGGAAATGCAGGAAAAAGTGAATTAATACTTCAAACAAAAAACCCCAAACAAGTCAGTATGTATTTTCTACTGCTATAAACATTGTCCAGCAACACAAATTAAAAAAAAACTTAAATCATACAAAAGAGAAAAAAAGAGTCAGGCTTATGTTGTTTATATAGAGGGCAAAACCAAAAACAGTTATCGCAATATTGCTGTGCAACAAGATTAAATGCAAGTTATGTGGGAAATGAACGATCCTTTTGTAAATTTTGCTCCAAAGTGCTCAGTGCATCCTGAGCGGTGAGCACCTTCAGTGCCTCCAGAACTCAGTGAGAGAAGATGGTGCTAAGTACTTTAACCCATTACAGCTGAAGGTGGTGATCCTGCCAACTGTTTCTCATGAACACTTGTTTTGACTTCAACAGTACTACAACACTGCCAGCTCAGAAGTCATGAATAAGACTAGAGGATAAGAATTATTAAAAAAAATATATATATATATAAAAATCATTTGGGGGTTCTTTATTTGCCTTTCATTTTAAGCTGTTAAGGTCCATTTTCTCAAGCTTTTCCATCAAATGTGATGACTACAAACTACTTTCAGGATAAAGGGATACTGATGGTGTTTTTCCTAAAAATAATTATGTAACACTAAATATTGCAAGACTTGCAGTAAAATTGAGGGTGTTAAAACTCTTATTGCTGGGACTATGAATATGGTTGTCAAAGCCAATGAGACTACAGCCCATGCAAATCATTCATATCAACATGCTCTACAAACGTGAGCGATTAAGGTGATGAGCCCCAGAAATTAAGGCACCTACATTTTCTGTCTATTCAAAAGCATTCATTTGCAGAATATAATAGCCAATTATCAACTGAAGTCACATAAATGAACAGTATTATGCAATTAAATGTGGTCTGAATCAATGGATCAACTAAGCTGTGTAGTGTGTGTGTCTGTTCTGATTAGCATATTGTTCCCATAACATTACAGTAAGAAAGTGGAGTACATTAGTCAACCAAAAATGGTGAATAAAATTTAATTCTTGGTGTAATTTCTCCACTTTAGCAGAGCTACTCCAGAGGTGAAGTTGACACAATATTGTTGTGCATGTTACTTAATGTGCTATTTTGAAGTTGTTTTGTGAAACTTGTTACTGTTGCAGATTGAATCAGTAGTAGAAGCTAAAACATTTTGTTTAGTCACAGGTGACACTAGTAATCTGCCAAAAATGCAGCACTGAACTAGAGTAGTCTCCAATGCTATGAAGGGGAAAAAGCACAGCTAATTGTATTATAATTCTAGCTCTCTAAAGGAATGACTACATGCTGAGTTGACACCACCAAAGTTACTGTAGCTATGAAAACCCAAGCCCACAGGAAAACAGCAAATGCATGTATTTACTGAATCACCCAATTCCTGTTAATGCACAACAGAAGTAGTATCAACTACACACTGCTGAGCCAATTCTGCTCCTACTGAAGTAATTGGGAATTTTGTCTTTGACTCTTAGTGAAACTGGGATTCAGTATATATTGTGTCATGTGAATTTAAAAATATTAATTTATTAAGAGAGTGTAACATTTTCAGGGACTTTTTGGAATTTTACATTAGGTCAGGATTACAAGGAGGATGCTAGAATTTTTAGTGAATACAAAAAGAAAGGGGGGAGGTGTCAGTGTGCGCGTGTGTGTGTGATAGTCAGCTGTTTACTATGTGGAAACAGGAGCTTGATACAATTTATTGTTGCCAGGCTGTGCCCCTCAATTTTGTCTCATCAGTTTCTGACTAAGCTGCCATTTGTT